AAACGGCCGGAGCTCCAAGACGGAGATTTGTCTTCAACGCCTCGGCCAACACAGATTCCCATTGGACGGACAAACGAAGCGGACGACGATGAGATCACTGCCATCCTCTCCGATCGATTCTCGAAGCCGTTGAAGAAGCAAATCTCGGGATTGATCCGCAGACAACGCGACGAGATGCTTCATCCCGAGCTTGCCTCCGACTATGCCTTCCCCGTTTTGCCAGGAGTCCTAGTCGGCCCCAAGGACAAACGCAACCCATCTTTGGAATTGACAAAATTGCTGATGCAGGTTCTGAGTTTGTCCAAGACAACAACCCTAGAATCCCGGTTGCTGCGACGCGAGCTTCTTGCCCTTTTCGAGGTCCGAGAATTCAGCAAGGAGGGCCGATTCGAGAACCCTAGTGCTAGCTTGAAGCTCCCGGAAATGTCCTGCAACTCCTGCTGTCTTATTCGAGATCTTGATCTCTGCCGCGACGAAGATGTGCTGCCTGATGCCAGCGCAGAAGCCAGCAAATCTACCCAACCCTGGCGATGCCCCTTCTGTCATGCTGAGTACGACCGTTTGGCGACTGAAGAATTCCTCATTGGTCAAGTCCATGGCTTTGTTGTTGAATGGCAGACACAGGATATCAAGTGCTCCAAGTGCAGTAGTCTGAAGATCAGCGATTTCATGGAGCACTGTTCTTGCAGTGGTACATGGACTGCGACAGTTGATCGAAAGGAGATCGAGAAGAAACTACAAGTGTTGGAGAGTGTAGCCAAATTCCACAAGCTACAACTATTGGAACACATTGTCGGGGAAGTGCTGGAGCGATTTTGAATGTACTATTTTTGTTTTTTCTTTGTTTTTCTTTTTGCTTTGCATTGGGTTGGCGTTGAGTCGGGCAAATGTTATGTAAATAGTCAACTGGACAGAAATGCCTCTCTAATAATCGCGCTGTTTATTTTTTTAAGCCTCGGCTTTTATAATTCAAATTCCTTCTTTTTTATTTTTTTCTTCCAAGATTCTATATTTTTAATTCCTAGAAATTAACCTGTCTTTAACGGTTTCATCGGACGTTTCAGCCCTTCCCAGTAGCCCTGCCAGCGATTCCCCACGATCTCCGACTTCAAACCCCCGCAGCCCTCGATCATCAGAAACCGTTGGCAATACCATAAGCCATATAGTTGTCCACGGGTAATCAGCCCTTGTCGCCCAACTGTGAGTACTTTCTGCGCACTCTCATCCTGGGTCTTTCGCGCTGGACTCCTGTGCCACTTTACCGTAAGGCTGACTTTGACTCGCGCAGGTACATAAGGACAGGCGTACATAACTATCGCGCAACCTTCGGGTCGAAATCTCTCTAGCAACTGCGCTCAGTCCTTCACTCGTCTTCTGCGTCACACGAATTCCCCATTCCCCCCACAATTCGCGTCGCGCATCCCCCACTTGGTTTTATTCGCAATGGCGGCACAACCCCCGAGCGGTCAGAAGCCGAAGGTTCAACCGTGCCGATACAAGACCGGAAAGACACTGGGCGCTGGTTCGTACTCTGTTGTGAAGGAATGTGTGCACATCGATACCGGTCGCTATTATGCGGCAAAGGTCATCAACAAGCGTCTCATGTCCGGGCGAGAACATATGGTGTGTGCTGGGAGAACTACAACTACGGGAGCATTAACTGACCTCTTCTGAAATATATAGGTCAGGAATGAGATCGCAGTATTGAAGAAGGTGTCGCTGGGCCACCAGAACATCCTCACACTGGTTGACTACTTCGAGACTATGAACAACTGTGTGTTTTGCTCCTCTACAATCGCTTTAATAGCGCCCCCGCTGACGAATGATGCTGTCTAGTATATCTTGTCACCGATCTCGCGCTGGGCGGGGAACTTTTTGACCGCATCTGTCGCAAAGGCAGCTACTATGAGTCTGACGCTGCAGACTTGATCCGCGCAGTGCTCTCCGCCGTGGCCTATCTGCACGACCATGGCATCGTGCACCGTGATCTGAAGCCGGAGAACCTGCTTTTCCGCACGCCGGAAGACAACGCGGATCTATTGATTGCCGACTTCGGATTGTCGAGGATCATGGACGAGGAGCAGTTCCACGTCCTGACCACAACCTGCGGAACGCCAGGATACATGGCACCGGAGATCTTCAAAAAGAGCGGCCACGGCAAGCCAGTGTAAGTCCATCTTATCTGCGATTATTTTATCTTTCACTGACAACATCCCCTTCTAGCGACATCTGGGCCATCGGCGTAATCACCTACTTCCTGCTATGCGGATACACGCCCTTCGACCGGGACTCCAATCTCGAAGAGATGCAAGCGATCTTAGCAGCAGACTACTCCTTCACACCGATCGAGTACTGGCGCGGCGTATCGCAGGAAGCCCGTAGCTTCATCAACAGCTGTCTGACAGTCAACCCGAAGTCCCGGATGACATCGCACGAAGCTCTCCAGCACCCATGGGTTAACCTGGCCTCCGACAGTGGAAAGGTCGGCTCGGGCGAAGATCTGCTGCCAACGGTCAAGAAAAACTTCAATGCGCGTCGCACGCTGCACCGTGCTATCGATACCGTGCGCGCTATCAACAAACTCCGTGAGGGAGGCGGTTTCACGATGGATGGCGTTATGAGCGTTGATCCTAAGCCTGAGCGTGTTAATGGTGATGAGATTATCGAGGAGAAGCACCATGCTCCTCCGCCTGTGCCGGTTAATGCTGGTGGTCCGACTCAGATGCAGATTGATAGTCGTGGTAATGCGCGTGGGCAGACTGAGGAGCAGATCCGGGCACAGGAGCGGAGGGTCAAGGAGATGGTTGCCGGTTTATGGAGTCGTACTCCGCGTTAGGAGGCGTGGATATGTATCCTTGGCTTTGTGTATGGTTGTTTCGTCCGTGGGAATATTCATATTCGGATTTGAAAGAATCATTGGCTGCTCTTCTCTGGCCTGGGACTTTTGCATTACTTGGGTCTTTTCAATGTCTCTGCATATCACATTATTATCAAATACAATGAAGTATGCCAGTGTTTTATAATCAATAATTATCTGATGAGTCTCGGTTTGAAATGCTCGTTCACTATCTTTATAAAGCTGGGATGTCATATCAAATCCTCGTCATGACTGCGGACATCCAAACCATTGCCATCCCTTATTAATGCCCATGCCGAAAAGCTGTGAACGGAAAACCCACGAAGGAAACTAAAGGAGCAGTATCATCATAGTCATTACAATCATCAGTCCCACTTCAAGCGTTGAGATGTGGGACGAAAGGCAAATTGATCTAGAAATAAATGCGGATCAATCTGTGCCTTCCAGGATCTCCTCCCCATCATCCAGAGAGAGAACCCACCCTCGCCATTCCTGCCACTCCGCATAACTAGCGCTTGCCTTGAGACCTTGATATCTGACGGTACGGAAATCCGAGACCTGATCCCAGGGCTTAGTACCACCGGAGTTCCCACCAGCTGCACCACGTAGCAGTCTTCGTGCAGTACTGCCACCACTACCACCATCCCAGCCCGCCTTGCGCATCAAGCTTTCCACGGTCTCTTCTTTGGTCCAGCCTTGCTCGACAGCGACGTCAGGAAGATAAGTGGCGCCATAGCGACGACCGCGGTGGATGAAGGAGATCCGCAGCCCGTGAGTACCCAGAGACCAGTCCAAGGCATTTGCACACGGCTCGAAGGACCCAAGGAGGGTGAGGGAGCATGATAGGGAGGGAAGAAGAGATTTGGGAATGGGCTCAAAACGGGTGTCATCGAAAGCCCTAAAGCAAGATCACATGTGAGTCAGTGTGATATATAGATAGGAATGTACCTTTGTAGCGTTGTAGCGAAAGAGGGGGTATTCAATGGGAACCACGTACGAGGTCAAAGCGTAGGACTTCAACCCCGCTGCAAGTTCCTGCCCCTCGAATGTGCCTATGCACCCGCGTAGAGACTTGTGTCCGCTTCGTGACAGGGTGTTCCATGTCACAAACAGGGGATATCGCTGATCAGGTGATCTCAGCTGGGGGGTTTCGGTAACCGCACTTGGCGTGGTGATGTTGGTTGAGTTCGACTGTAGCGAGTTGGATGAAGTATTGGATGCGGACGACGACGAAGATGTGGCTGCACTGGAAGAGGCGGAGAATTGGCTCTGAAGACGGCTGATTCTGGGCAGTTGCAGCTTCTTGGGCTGACTACTCGATTGGATCGATTGGTTGCAATCGTCATCTTCGTCCTGTTCATTTACGGACTGCTGTTGGTCTGTATCTTCCACTTCGAGTTGTTCTTCAAGGCTCGACAACTTCTTAGTTTGCTCGTGTTGTTCCCATAGTGCCTCTACGGCTGCCAGAGTGGGGGGCTGGCGATCCTCGAATGAAGCGAGGAGGGACTCAAAGCAATAGTAGCATTGTGCGGTATTTGCCATGTCGGGTAAGGTCCTGTCCTCTTTTGGTTCACCGGTGACTTCTTCAAGAAGTGCTGCACTGCTTCAGGTTTTAATCCAAGACAAGTTGGGGGAAGTATGAGGTCTCCGCAAGGGTCCGGGGCGATAAGGTACTGGGTCCTTATCGATGCTGGAACGAACCAGAACACAGCTCGGTCAGGTTACCAATTACCTAATAATGTCATGTGACCATGGAGCTTGGGCTCACTATTTCGTATCATAAATAAATTTCAGTTGTTTTGCTGGTAATTGCTTAATATAAAACTACTATTTTGAAACTACAAGTCACTACGTAAAAGTGTGAACACCCCAGGTTCTGCCAGCTTGATATCCACCAATAAAAGCTAAGGGGTGAAGGGCGGTATGATTAATTAAGAAGGCGGTAGCGGAAGGGGTGTTGACACTTTTGTGGAGTCATGTACAACATACTTCTTCGCTAACGTGTTTTATATACGAGCCTATAGTAAGTGCGATATATTCTATACTTATATCTTCGTATCTTAACAACTATATTGCCTACCGATACATAGTTAGCTATCGATAAAGGTTACACAGGTTACACTGATAGCTAGGGGAAGGCAAGATGAACAGAATTGCAGACGCACTGTCGAGGTTACCGAGCGCTTCACCAACACTAGCGAGGAGCGTCTCTGATCTGCGCAGCCTCGGTGTCGCTGGTAATCATAGACAAGGTGTTGTTCATATAGGCAGGAAGAACTGGCTGTTTCGTGCGTTGGAAGAACGTGGCAGCTTCCACGTCCGTCATGTTATGTTCTCCGGCGAGACGTAAGAATGTTAGCGGCCTTTTTGCTTGCTGCACAGCTCGCTGCGAGGGCCTCTAAGCGGCTCGCGGCAGTCATCAGTGTGGGAAAGGATGCCGCGGCTTCTAGCCTAGTGTGCCTTGCGCTTGGGATAAACACGTACCCTCCTTTATAGCAGTCTTGGCTGTTAATACGTTAGCCACTCGTCTATGAACAACAGAGCAGCAGAGTAACGTGAAAAAGGAAGAAGCAAGAAAGAAGTGAGAGTGAAGTGAGAGTGAAGTGAGACGAAATTGAGAGGGAACTTTTGGGTAAGGTATCATGGACAACAGCATGACATACCCTTCTTGGCCTTTCCGCCTCGAAAGGCGCGGTGTGCCTTTCGCTTGGTCTGCAGCAGTCAGATATCAAATCAACAATATATCCCCAAAGCAGGCATGTGGATCTTACAGGGAGCGGGGGGAGGGACATCCGGTTAAGGGCGCCCAGGCGCCCTTAAGCGGCGGCAGCTGGCTTCCGTATGGCCCGGCATATAATAATAGTAACAAAAAAGCTATCATTTATTAGTCCATATTTCAACAATCGATGAATATGTGATAATCGTTGGGAGTATGATGGTCATGGTAGAGGTCTGATTGCATTGGGGAATGGGAGGCTTGGGGAAACGAAGTCATGGCAGTGGTGTCAACACTTACACGAGGGCCCTCGGAGTCCGCCATGTTTTTTTTTTTTTAAGAAAAAAAAAAAAGAAAAGAGGCCGACAGCAGGCGAAGCGTGATGAGATGTGTGTTGTTGACAAGGGGAAGTTCTTTTCGCTGGAAGTCACTGCTCTTATACCACGGGTTCCTTGGCGAGGTTGTAAAACGAATGTAGTACTAAGAAAGCACTAAGGTATAAGCCTATGTGATAGTCTATTATTGTTAAGATATCAAGTTGTAATTTGTCGTATTTACTATGGTCTCGCATGTGTACAACATAGGTAGCTCGTAGATATATTGAAGAGTAAGGCAGACGTAAGGCAGAAGTAAGGTGTAAATAAGGCACAAATAAGGTAGAAACAGACGATTTACAGTGGCAGCAGTAAAGCATTATGCCAATGTCTCTTAGAAAATGTACAACGTGGCCTTGGTAGCGATACTGCTGGCCACGGATCAAGCGAACTTCGATAAATACATGAACCCGCGATATCAAGATCTCTTCTACCTGAGTGAGCTCCGGCAATATAAGAGGCATCTCATCCGGCTGCATGTTATTTAGCGTACTAAATAACCCTGCAGCCTGACCTCTATCAGCCTTTCGGCAGTTGGAGCAAACCCCATCGGCAAGCTCTATATTGAACCATCGCTAACGACAACGGGAACAGGTCTCCATCGAGTATGATTGTAGGCGGTTGTAGAACGACTGGATCAAGGACCACTCTTGATTAGAGACTGCGGGGTCAGTAGTGGTATCGGAGGGGTACGAGTTTGGGGTTCGGCTATCGTTTGAGGAATTGGTTGTTCTAGAAGAGGCGACTGACCCGTGGTAGATTCTTGAGGGAGTGCTTGTGCTTGTATATTGGCTTCTGCTTATATACTGGCTTGTGCTCTAGCTTTGCCTCTGGCATCTTTTGACTTCGCCGGAGCGGAACTTGGAGCGGAACTGGTCCAGAGGTAGCGTTCGCGAGCACTATATGATGAGCAATCTATGGTAGATTACTACTATGTGTGTGGGAGAAAGCAAAGCAAGAATTGTTAATTGGTAAAACTAGAAATGCAGGGGTTTATATACCCTGTAGAAACTATCTGAACATTGCTCAATTGTAGCAAACAACAAATAGCAAATAGCAAATAGCAAACAAATATCAAAAGGCTCAGTCTGCAGAAAACAACATGCATGCATGCATGGGAGATTGTTCAACACTATATATAGGTTCTAGATAGGGGATCTAGCGAACCCTCTATATAGACTTCTGTAGCTGGAAATAAGAATGTAAGGGGATCTGGAGACGACTCGATTGGAGCCGACAGCTCCTCGGTAGGTGGAGGGTCCATTATACGCGCACCGGTTCTAGCCACGATGCTTCGGCAATGTTCACAACTTTGAGTCTCTCGACCAAACACTGATAGAAATTGATGTAAGGGACGTACATGCCCACATCGCGAGTATAGCTTTGAATCCATGGTAGGGGAGAAGGGTGAAATATTTGGCTAGGATATATGCTAACTACACGCTGTATAGTTTGTCGTATTTACTATGGTCTCGCATGTGTACAACATAGGTAGCTCGTAGATATATTGAAAGGTAAGGCAGAAACAAGTGGCAGCAGTAAAGCATTATCACATGACGTCACTAAGCTAACCCAATCGGGAAGTATGGCTTTACTTCCCAGTCACTCTTCTGTTACCTTTCTTTCTATTCTATCAATTGTTCTCTACTAATCTATTTCAACATGGCCACTCGTGAACTCCAACCACCCAGATCCCCGCGGTTGAACCTCCGGATTTACCAGGACAACGGTTCTCTTCTGGCTGGTAAGTCACGATAGCCTGCCTCATAGGAACCAGTACGACAACTGACAGCCTTGTTATAGCCCTGGAAATCCCAACTGACGAGCAATATCAATACATTTCTCCTGAGATGCTTTATCGATACTGCTCACTAATATTTATCTTTCCCGGCGAGGAGAAGATGTGGAAAATTTACAAATTGCAGGAGGACGGCACAACAGGTGCTGCACTCCCGTCTAGTAGTCGGGCTCTAGTCAGCCCCGGCAACTACATAGTCCTTGATACAAGTACGTTGATACGCCTAGCATCACTGTGGTTTCCAATGTTGGTGATTGTACAGAGAGAAATCCCACTACTGTCAACCTCACGACTGAGAGTGCTCCACGCCGCATCAGAACTCGTGACATCAGTTCCCAGGACCAGGGTCAGAGTGAACGAGACCGCTTGGTAAAGTCGATATCGGAATGATCAGAAGCATGTAGCGACAGAGCTAATCATTTCTATAGCAAAGGTCATTTCGCGACAGCCTCCGCAACAGAGACAGATGTTGTACAATTACCGGGCTATCTACCATTTTTATCGAAGAGCACCCTTTCCAAGATGTTGACGCTACGCATGTCTTCCCTGTAATCAGGCTGGAGGAATGGAGACGAGGCGGATACCGGCGCTGTATTACGGACACTCGCCCCAATAGTGAGATTGGAGATTCTGGCCTCTATTCTGCCCAGAATGGGCTTCTCCTCCGTGCGGATATTCACGCACACTTCAATGCTTTCCAAATTGGAATTGACCCCGATGTAAGACCCCTTCTATAGTCAGATCTGCTATTTCGCCGATACGTACTAATGGCGATAAACATAGGCCAATTACAAGATTATTGTATTCGGAAGTGATCCTACGGGAATGGGTGGTACTCGCCTCCGAGACTCTGCCAGAAGTGGAACCCAGCGTGTGAGTCCTGACCTCCTTCGTTGGCACCTGCGGATGTGCCTGTACAATAGATTCAAGGCCAATGCCGAACCAAGGCCGATGTGGGAGGAGGATCTTGAGGAAGATCCGATAGGCAGCATTCTCATGCAGCCAGACGCGGCTGGACGAATGGAGGTTGAGCTTTTCACCCGCCTGGGAGGACTGGTAGCGTGATGCATTCAGAACCAGGCAAGACTAACCAGCAAAGGCAACTGATGGCTACACTATGGTATTACCTAGATAGGAAATAACCCTGGAAAAGCAGATGAGAAGAAAATAGTCCTTGGATTCTATAGATCCTTGTGTTGAGAACAGATTGTAGAATGTACATAGGACGCCCAATTAATGTTGAACTTTTCCCCTTAGAAATTCATGTTGAGCCCGCTGTTGAATAAGTGCGAGGCCCAACCGCCAAAAATAACATTGCTCGTTTCACATGCAAAAAAGCATTTCCCATATCCCAATGACCCGCGTCAGGTTGAAAAAGCAGTCCGGTAATTAACCCCTAAAAACGCACCCATGTATTTTTCTTTTGTTATACGAAATGATGTTGAACTCGTGAGATCCTGGATTCAGGACCCCTCTTATTTTTCCGCAACTCATACTCGGACCTCAATATCCCATTTAAACGGGGAGAGGGAAGGTGCTGGCCCACTGAGCAATCTCCTTGCGGAGAGCAAGGATCTCAGGAACGCTGTCATCAGCAACCTTGGCCTTGAAGTCCTTGAGCTTGTTGGCCTCCTTAGGAAGCTCACTCTGGACCTTCTTGCAGATGGCGACGGACTGGTCAATGTAGCGGGCAATGCGCTTGAAGTCCTCGGAGCCCATACCACGGGAAGACATGGCGGGGGCACCAATGCGGATACCGCAAGGACTGAGGGCCGACTTGTCACCGGGGATGGAGTTCTTGTTGCAGGCAATGTTGATCTGCTCGAGAACGGCCTCAACACGAGCACCATCGAGGCTGTTGGCACGGAGGTCGACGAGGACCATGTGGCTGTCAGTGCCGTCCGAGACGAGCTTGTGGCCAAGAACCTTGAACTCCTCCTCGAGAGCCTTGGCGTTCTTGATGACCTGCTCCTGGTACTGCTTGAACTCAGGGGTGTCGACCTGCTTGAGGGCAACAGCCAGAGCAGTGATGGTGTGGTTGTGGGGTCCACCCTGGTGGCCAGGGAAGACGGAGAAGTTGATAGGGTTCTCGAGGTCGTAAAGGACATCCTTGCCGGTCTTATCGGTGCTGCGGACACCCTTGCGGAAGAAGATCATGGCACCACGGGGGCCACGGAGAGACTTGTGGGTGGTGGTGGTCACAACATCGGCGTACTCGAAGGGAGAAGGAATGACACCAGCGGCGATCAGGCCGGAGATGTGAGCCATATCGACGATGAGGTAGGCGCCAACCTTATCGGCAATCTGGCGCATGCGCTTGTAGTCAATCAGACGGCAGTAGGCGGAGGTACCGGCGACCAGACACTTGGGGCGGTACATCTCGGCGTTACGCTCGAGAGTGTCGTAGTCGATGATACCGGTCTCAAGGTCAACACGGTAAGGGAAAGTCTCGAAGTAGGTGGAAACGGCAGAGATCTTGCGGGAGGGGGTCTGGTAGCCGTGGCTCAAGTGACCACCGTGGGGGAGATCCAAGCCCATCAAGCGGTCGTGGGGACGCATAAGAGCCTGGTAGACCTGGAGGTTGGCGGGGCTACCGGAAAGGCACTGGACGTTGACGCCCCACTTGGCGGGGTCGAGGTTGAAGGCCTTCAGAGCACGCTGCTGGCAGGTGATCTCAATGGCGTCGATGTGTTGGTTGCCACCGTAGTAACGAGCACCGGGGTAACCCTCGGAGTACTTGTTGCACATGGGGGAACCAAGAGCATCGAAGACAGCACGAGAAGTGAAGTTCTCGGAGGCAATCAGAACGATTGACTCACGCTGACGCTGGACTTCCTTCTCCTGTACGGATAGAAGAATTAGCACAGCTGAACTTTCTGGTGGGGAAAATGCATTCGACTGCAAGTCCCATGGTATAGTTTTAACGTACCATGATGGAGGCAATCTCCGGGTCGCTAGACACGAGGGAGTTGTGCATTTGCTGTAATCGATGAGTTAATGATCCAGATGCTATAAATGAGGGTAGATGTGTTACTCACGTCCCGGTGGGACTCGGAAAGAGCGTAAGTCATGATGAAGGATGGTAATCTGCCTGGAAATAAACAGAAAAATTTGGATATGGAGGAGGGGAAGTGAAGAGAAGGGGAAAAATTAAATGGAAGTGGTGGGGGAGGGGATCTGCCGGTTGCCTCAGGCGCTGAACCTTAGCACACCGAACGATATCGGAGAGAGCTGACCGGATTAGGGTTTTAGGTTATAGAATTTGTAACTGCAGCAAATTGGTACAATTGGAGGTTTAAGACAATTACATAATTGGCAAATCCCTTTGAATATTCGAGAAAAGAGAGAAGAGGAAATATATTATGAGTTGTTGGAGTTGCCACAGCTAATGAAATGATGGCGCCTTTTGTTGTCTTGAAATGATCGCTAAAAAAAAAAACACCAGGGTATTTCCTTATTATAAACGCCAAATGAATTGAATCGAAAGGCATGTGGCACCTGGTTGGCTTGAGAATTCCCATTCTGAACCGGGATTTTCGAAGTTCAAGCTTCATGCTTCCACGGTCCTCATGCTTCCACGGTCCTCGTATTGTCCTCATGTAGCGTTCCTGCTCGACTCCCAAAGTCAGAGATGACAGAGCGCAAACGTCTCACACGATCCTCCAGCTCTGCAATCTCCCTTTGTTGGTCATTGACAGACCGATGCACATCCGGTAGCCCTTCGACGACTGTACGAGCCTTCTGGATTCGAATCCTGACAGAGCTGGTTTCGGTAGGGAGGTTTTTCACATCGAGCGGCGGATGAGCGCTTGAACCAAGGACTGATACTTCTGGTACAGCATGTGAAGAGGTGGTGTTGCCATTGTGTCCACCATTAGGGATGTTTGAAGGTGTCTGTTGGGTCTGCGTCTGGGAAGCTCCTGGGACCCCTGTTGTATCTCCGGGTGCGTCCGATGAACCGGTTTGCTGCCCTTTTGAGGAGAGCAAGCGAGAAAGAATACCATGCAATGGTGGGATTATCTCAAAGGTCTGTGGTGAAGGGAACGGTACTGTTTCAGGCGCTGGTGTTGGCGCATCTTTCAAGGGCGTCTCAGGCACAGGGGATTTCAGCAGCGGGGTGCCCACTGGCGGGGATCGAGAAGCCATTGTCGGGAATGTTGTCTGAAAGGATCCCGAGGAAAGAGATCTAAAGGACGAGTAGATCCCGGCTGGGGTTAAGTTTTTAGGGAAGAGTCGGAAGACGCCCTGTAGATTCGGCCGCAACACATGATTATCTCAGCAAATACGCTCCTGGCACCCGGTGACGGTGACGTCGGGGCCCATGCCCCTCCTTCACCGGCGGCCTTTTTTTTCTTCGTTGGTGGTCTGATTCTCCTCTCTGTCTCTTCTCCTCTAAACATCTGTTGAAAGGTAAGCAGCTTTGTCGGTTTACTGTCGAGTTTCTCTTGGTTCAGCAATTGATCATTGTTCATATAATTCTAGGTGTGATTCAAATCACAATAACAAACCCCACTATGGCTGACCAAAAAGTTGCCTTGAGTATGATTGACTGCCACCCAGGTCCCCAAAGGATATGCAGGCTAATACAAGCCTTATAGTTGTGATTGATGGCTGGGGTATTGCAGGCCCCAACTCCCCACCCCAGGGAGATGCCATCGCTGCGGCCGATACCCCACACATGTCAGGCTTCGCTGAGCCCAACTCCAAGACCGCCCAGGGCTTCGCCGAGTTGGATGCCTCCTCGCTCGCTGTTGGTCTGCCCGAGGGTCTGATGGGCAACAGTGAGGTCGGTCACCTGAACATTGGTGCTGGTCGTGTTGTCTGGCAGGACAGTGTTCGCATTGACCAGACCATGAAGAAGGGCGAGATGGGCAAGGTCCCCAGTGTCATCAAGTCTTTCACCCGTGCAAAGGAGGGTAATGGACGTCTCCACCTTCTGGGCTTGGTCTCGAATGGTGGTGTTCACTCCAACATCACTCATTTGTTCGCCTTGCTCCAGGTCGCCAAGGACATGCAGATCCCCGAGGTCTTCATCCACTTCTTCGCCGATGGACGTGATACCGACCCCAAGAGCGCCGACAAGTTCATGCAACAGGTGCTTGAGAAGACACAGGAGATCGGTATCGGCGCAATTGCCACTGTCGTGGGCCGCTACTACATCATGGACCGCGATAAGCGCTGGGAGCGTGTTGAGATTGGCCTCAAGGGTCTGGTCACTGGCGAGGGTGAGGACAGCTCGGACCCGCTACAAACCATCAAGGAGCGCTATGAGAAGAACGAGAACGATGAGTTCCTGAAGCCCATCATTGTTGGCGGCAAGGAACGCCGTGTCCAAGGTACGTGAGGTCCGAGCCCAAAAGACAATGTCATGACAGCTAATTGAGCCTGTATAGATGACGATACCCTCTTCTTCTTCAACTACCGCTCGGATCGTGTCCGTGAAATCACCCAGCTGCTGGGCGACTATGACCGTTCCCCGCGTCCCGACTTCCCCTACCCCAAGAACATCTCCCTCACCACCATGACCCAGTACAAGACTGACTACACCTTCGATGTTGCTTTCCCCCCCGCAGCACATGGGTAATGTGCTGGCCGAATGGCTCGCCAAGAAGAACCTCCAGCAATGCCACATTGCTGAGACTGAGAAGTACGCTCACGTCACTTTCTTCTTTAACGGTGGTATTGAGAAGGATTTCCCCGGCGAAACCCGCGATATGATTCCTTCGCCCCGAGTCGCTACCTACGATCTTGACCCAAAGATGAGTGCAGCTGCTGTCGGTACCAAGATGGCTGAGCGCCTTGGCGAGAAGAAGTTCGACTTTGTCATGAACAACTTCGCCCCTCCCGACATGGTCGGCCACACTGGCGTGTACGAGGCCGCCATCCAGGGTGTTGCTGCCACTGATAAGGCCATTGGCGAGATCTATGAGGCTTGCAAGAAGAACAACTACACTCTGTTCATTACCGCCGATCACGGGTAAGTTATCCTGCGGCACAGGAACACTGTTCATCAAGAGGATTGCTAGTTAACCCACATTCGCAGAAACGCCGAGGAGATGCTCAACGAGAAGGGCACCCCCAAGACCTCCCATACCCTTAACAAGGTTCCCTTCGTTATGGCCAACGCCCCAGAGGGCTGGAGCCTCAAGAAGGACGGTGTCTTGGGTGATGTCGCGCCTACCGTTCTCGCCGCCATGGGCGTCGAGCAGCCCGAGGAGATGACTGGTGCCAACCTGCTGGTCAAGTCCTAGATAACTAGAGTTTTTCGTACATAAATGTTTGATTATGAATCAATGAATAGAATTTTGTCAATATACACATGATGTTTTCTTTTGCTTCTATGGTATCAGAAGTCATCCATCTTCTAGTTGCTCTGGGATGCTTTCAAAGCCTTCTTTATTTCATTCGTGTACATCCTTCTTGATGGGAAGATATTATTGAAATATCGAACTTGAATTAACCTACGTATATAGGCATGGGGAGACTTCATCGTGCAAGTATATCAATTTTCAGAATGATTGACACTATCAGATAATTCCACATCCAAAGACCAATTGATCACTTTTGATAGCGTTGTATTAAAATTTTGAGGGTATATCTTTAAACCGATCCATGCGCTGTTCTGGTGTCAGGCACCTGCACAGATCATACATTTCCTCCAAGCTATCCCAACTCAATTGGGATTCGGTCAATGCCCAGTAATTCCTCGAGATATCGTACCTCCAAAGTAGGGTTCACAGTTGCATAGTGCACGTACCGAATCACAGTGAACTGGTTGAGGGTTGGTCCCATCCGACGCCAGCTTCGTAGCCCGCACGCCACCTATCGCATCGCCGGGTCACCGGGTGATATATCCTTCTTCGCCTGCGGGTCCAGGGAGCTTTTGAGTTTATGCGGACGCCGAAGCAGCAGCCGCCTGCTGTTGAGCCTGGCTTTGGAGTTGGATGAGCTGAATGAGGGGTTAGAATATGCATATGGTGGGGTGGTGGATTGTAGTTGGATGAGGGCGGTTTACCTCTGAGCGCATCTTCTCGCTCTTTTCTTGTGTCGCCTCAATCTCGCCTTCAATTCGCTTGCTGTTGGTTCTCGGTCAGCACATATTTTCGTTGGTTCATAGTGGCCAAGGTAGTAGCACTAACATCTCCTTCTCAATGAACTCCAACCGACCGTTGACGGCCATGGTGGCTTCGGTCTTATCCTGCTTCAGCAACACCGGGCCAACAAGCTTGTAAATGTTGGATTCATCGTCCAGCTGGGCGAACTCGGTCTGTACGCCTTCGTTCTCTTGCTGCTGCGATTCGAGTTTCTGGCGGGCATCGACCAGAACCTCAAGCTCTGGATGTGCGAGAAAGGTCAGTAGCTATTGTTGTGATCAATTAGATATCTAGACATACCGGTCTGCAATCCCTGGAACTCTTCCGAGAGTGCTTGAAGCTGTTTCTGGGCGTCCATGGTGAACTTGGAGGTGAAGTGGGAGGAGGGAAAATCAATGGCTTCCCGCCCGTAAACAACTTCCACTCTCACTTTCCCCTCCAATTCCCATCAACCCTCGGTTCTAGGGCTGTTTTGTACCTCTTTTCTTCTACAACCAAAGGATCTTCAAGTTTTCTCTTCTAGCAACTCGTTGCCTATCCCTCCAGCCTTGGCCCATTGCCCCCCCCAACCCTTGCTCCCCTCTCCCCGCTTTATCACATCTGCCTCCGCGGTCGACTTGCTCCCTCTACCCCAGACAGCACACACATTGCCCATTATGAGTAATACCGATTTTCTGGGGCGGGCGATCGATACGGTCAAGAAGGCGATCGAGAATGACAACGATGGCGAGTACGAAAAGGCTTATCAGATGTACTACTCCGCACTCGAGTTGTTCATGCTGGCCTTGAAATGGGAGAAGAACCCGAAATCGAAGGAGATGATCCGCTCAAAGGCCGGCGAGTATATGGATCGCGCGGAGAAGCTTAAAAATCACCTGGCTGAGGACCGGAAAAAACCAAGTGCGGTTGGCGCAAATGGAAAGGTGGCGCAAGGCAGTGGGAAGGGAGGGTATGTACTCGACGTCTTTTGACAAGAGCTTCTCGCTCTAGCACCCCTCATATGTGTGATAGACAGTGTTAGCGAGTGGGCTATTGTCCTATGTTATCCCCGCTAACAGCACCGGATCGTACAGGAAGGAAGATGACGATAACGGCGAAGATGCGGATGCGAAAAAGCTTCGATCGGCGCTTCAGGGAGCTATTCTGTCAGACAAGCCGAACGTGAAGTGGGAGGATGTTGCTGGCCTGGAGAATGCAAAGGAAGCATTGAAGGAAGCTGTCATTCTTCCCATCAAGTTCCCTCATTTGTTCACTGGCAAGCGTCAACCCTGGAAGGGTATCTTGCTCTACGGCCCTCCGGGAACGGGAAAATCTTATCTTGCCAAAGCCGTGGCAACGGAGGCAAACAGCACATTCTTCAGTGTCAGCAGTAGTGACCTGGTCTCGAAGTGGATGGGTGAGAGTGAAAGGTAGGGCAACATCTTCATCTACGGGAGCTTCGAGAGTTGCGTACTAACTCGCGTCTAGACTCGTGAAGCAGTTGTTTAACATGGCTCGTGAGAATAAGCCAGCGATTATCTTCATCGACGAGGTCGATGCGCTGTGCGGACCCCGTGGCGAAGGAGAGTCCGAGGCCTCACGGCGTATCAAAACAGAATTACTTGTACAGATGGACGGTGTCGGCAAAGACTCGAAGGGTGTTCTGATTTTGGGCGCAACCAATATCCCCTGGCAACTGGATGCTGCTATTCGGCGACGATTCCAGCGAAGAGTACACATCAGTCTTCCCGATCTCAATGCACGAATGAAGATGTTCATGCTAGCCGTGGGCTCGACGCCGTGCCAGATGACCCAGACCGACTATCGTCAATTGGCCGATCTAAGCGAAGGCTACTCTGGTAGCGATATTAGTATTTGCGTGCAGGATGCACTGATGCAGCCAATCCGCAAGATCCAAGGAGCAACACATTATAAGAAGGTATGTATACTCAGTCCTCACCATTCCAATCCACGGCGACTGACCCAACTCTGTTACAGGTACTCGACGAGGGCGTAGAGAAACTCACGCCTTGCTCACCAGGGGATGCGGGCGCAATGGAAATGAACTGGCTTGACGTCGATGCGGATAAGCTTCTAGAGCCAGCTCTCAATCTGAAGGATTTCATCAAGGCAGTTAAGAACTCTCGGCCAACCGTTAGCGGAGAGGATCTCACAAGGAACTCTGAATGGACCCAAGAATTCGGCAGTGAAGGCGCATGATTGTATTTTCCGAACGAGATTCTTCCCATCATGGCCTCCGAAATGCGAATTTTTCTATCCCAGTCGATCGACAGCATAAAATCCTGGCTCCCTTGGCTTGTTCCAGGGAGGACGAAAGCTGAATATCTCATGGCCTTGCTCATAGTCTCCTTTACCCCTGCGCTTTATCTGTGTCCATGTCAATGCTTGCTTCATTTCGGATTACTGTGGTTTTTTGGTGGGTGTCTCCGAAGAGTTTGGTGTTTAGAAGCGTTTCTCAATTATTTTTTTGGCAATGGCCGGCGTTGGCTGAGCAAATATTTTCATGTGTCTATCCTGGCGAGTTATAGGAAAGCGTGTGAGTAGCTGCATACATACTGCTTTGAAGACTACACACTTATATGGTTCTTTCGCCGTAGCTTGTAGGTGTAATTAATGCCATTCAAGACTCAATTTTTGTACTGGCAGATGCTACATAAATAACTGTTAATCATTAAATTCTTCACTGGGATGACACTATGCACAAATGATTCGAACAAACTGACATAAAGCCAGCCCTAGAACGCCTCGATAAAAATGAAGGTAGACACAGAACCACGAACAACAAGTTGGAAAAAAAAAGCTAGTATACTTGCAAGACATGTCGGGGGAATCTCTCATGACTAAAGGTCGACGCTGGAAGAACAGACAAAATCACGAATGACATAAAACACAGCACCGATCCATCTACTGACCAAGCAAGCTCTTGTTCGAGCTATCACGACGCTTGAGCATTTCAGTCTTAGCACGCTTCAAGCCCTCGCCCAGTTTCTTGGTCCGCTTCCAATCACTGCTCATCTTTTGCATGCGAACAGCGGCCCTCACAAGAGATATGGCAGATTTTAATTTATGACGGGGAGTGCGGATAGGAGCTCGGTCACGGGCCTGCACACCCATCTCGGAAATCATACGGAGATCAGCATCGTTGCTGTCGGTAACATGTTAGCTATATTGCAGATAGTATTAGATAGAAATGGGGGTACGAACCATGCAACCCGGACGCGTTCACCAAGTTCCATCAAGCCCTTGCTCCAGGCAAGATCACGGCGGAACTTTTCTTCACGCTGTAGGCGAGCGCGAAGCCAGATGATTTCCTTGCCTAAGCCTCGGATTTCTTTCTCGTGTTTGGTTTTGTTGGTTGACTTGGAAAGGGAGGTTTTCTCGAGGATTTCGTCGTGGCGTCTTTGTAACATATCGAGATTTTTGGTTACAGCTTCAGCCTCGCGTTTGTGGGCATCTCGTTCTTCGCGAATCCGGCGCACATGTGACTTCAATTCGTTCAGGCGTGCTTCTCGTTCGGAGAGTTTTAGGGCCAGTGATTCGGCTTCGAGGGTGGAGGACCTGAGGAGCTCATGGAAGTCCTTTTGGTCTTCTTCTTTCATCACGGCACGTTCTAGCTCTCGGTTCTTCGTGTTCACCTTCTGGAGGGATCGGTGTGCTTCAGCCACTTGTTTTCGTAGACTGCGCAGCTCTTCATGAAGCTTGTTTGATGGAGAATTATGGGAGGAGTGGGACTCAAATTTGTTCATCATCGCATCATGAAGATCCTTTTCCAATTCCTCAACTCGGGACTTGTAGCTTTGCGCAGAAGACTTTTGCTTGGATTCACGCTGGAGGAGGATCTTTTCCCGTTTCTTAGCCTCCTCCAGGCTGTGTCGAAGTAAAGACAAGTCCCCATGTGTGCCAGATTGTTCATTCTCTGCTAGAGGGTGCTGCTGCTCAAGAAGAGCTTCCAGTTCTTGGGCGCGACGCTCCAGGCGCTGTACCTTCGTCTTGGCCGAAGTGAGTTCTCGATCTCGGTTGCCCGAGCCAGCAAGCAATTTGTCCTGAAGGCGGTCAATTTCAGCCGAAAGACGACCCTCCTCTGCTGCAAACCGTTCACTTTCTGAGACAAGCTGGTCCTCAAGGGACACTTTGGCGTCTCGCAGTACTTTGAGTTCGTTGTCGAGTCGTGTTACAGTCTTGCGTAGTTCAAGTTTGTCGCGGTCAAACCGGGTGGTGTCATCTGCACTCTGGACTCGGTCGAGTTGAGCTTGGAGCTCGTTGCGTTCAACCTCAATCTCCTGCGCCGAAGCTTTCAGGTCAAATATCTCCACATGAGCATTTGCAAGCTGATCACGGAGCTTTTGTCTTTCGGCAATAGACTTTTCCAGGTTTTTGTCCAGGTCAGATGTCCCATTTTGTCGACCCTTAGCAAGTTCTTGCTCATCCGCCAAACTCGATTGTAAAACGATCACCTCGTCTTCCAGAGCTCGCACCTTGTCTACAAGTGCTTGCTCTTCGCGTCTAGATACCCGAGCATCCTGCTTCGCTGTAAGAAGTTCGTCTCGTTTTTCATCAAGGTCGCGTCTCGTCTTATCGAGGTCGTCTTTCAGATCTTGGATTTGGCGATTCAGCATAGACTTTTCTTGCGTGTAGCGCTTTTTCTCGCTATCAATGGCCTCTTGAAGCCTAGACTCCTTCCCAGAATATGTGCTGCCAGCTTCCTGAAGTGCATCGATAGTGCGCTTCAAGTCTGCCGCTTGGCCTTCTGCCCATGCTTTCTCTGATTGCAGAGTCCGCTTGCTGCTTTCCCAACGGCTCTGATCGACGGCAAATCGGCCCTCCTTCTCCTCAATCTCGTGGTGAAGGTTTTCGATCTCCTCTTGCAGCCGTTCAAGTTCCGCTTTGTGCTGCCAGCGAATGTTGTGTCCTTCGTCCTGAGCGCGAGATGTGGCATCTTGAACTGCCTTTTGAAGTTCGCGGACTCTGGATTGCGCACGGTCAAGTTCAATTTGTAGTCCTCCCGATTCATCGGTCAGTGCGTGATGGCGAGTTTGAAGAAGTTCCTTTTCGTCCGTTCCACGCTGGAGTTCGTCCAAGGCCTCCTGTAGTCGAGCAGAAGTAGTTTTTAGGTCCTGTCGAGCTTGATCGCGATCACGCCTGGCCACATCAAGGTCCTCAACCAGTTGGTGGGCGTTATCTTCTAGGCCATGTTGAATAGTTTGGTAACGCTCTTCGAGGAGAGTCGCATGGTTGGTTTTACTCTTCAGTTCTGTCCTCAGAGCATCATTATCCTGTTGCAGCTCACGTATCTCTTCTTCGAGCTTTTCGGTCCTGTCCTCCATTTGCCGGCTCAGTCCTTTGGTGGTAAAAGATTTGTTCGACATTTCGTCCTGCA